ATGGAAAATAAAATGGAAACTTAGGAGTTTAGACTATAGCTCGCATCCTGCTCCTGCCAGGCTTCTCCTCGGATTTGCAGAAGGTGGACACAGACCTGCAAAACAATGTGGTGGCCTTGCTGCGAGCCATGTGCCTTGGCGATGTCCCTTAAGATCAGGTTTGGGTTTAGGCTTGAGATTTAGGGTGTAGGGTTTAGGGTTTGGGGTTTCGGGCTGTGTCTGTAAGACCTGATGGTTTCTCAACATGGGGGTAGCTTGGGGACCCTGAGGGGATTGGAGGGGCAGTTTAGGGATTATGTAGCATTCCCCTTCCTTTTTAAGCAGGACTCTATCAACCCATGTCCCAGCCCTTCTTGCGAGGGCAGCTGCTGTCACCAATCAGAAGCCTTCCCAAAACAATCACATGCCACCAGCACCAACAGGCCATAGATTGCAACGCGCTTTCTGTACAACGCTATGAGTGTTCCGATCATGGTCTCTTCAGGAGTTGTAGCGGCAATTACTGGTACTGCCATGTCTTGCCGTCCCGCCCCATGACAGAAGAAAAGCCTGAGCTGGTAAAGCGGGGCGCCAGATTTTCCAAGTCTGATATCTTAGTCGTGGAGGCAAGAAATTGCATGCAAAAACTGAACTTCTGGGCTTCCATGTTGGTGTCCGTGACAGCTGGGAATTGTTTGGAAGTCTCCGCGAAAGCCTTGCTTAGCTGGAGGTACGACATGTTGGCTAGCTTCCTGGTGGTCCTCGTTGTGGTTCCGCTGATTTTCGTGGTGGTGGTTCCTTCCTTGCTGGCTTATTTCTGGATCCAGAAAATATACAGGCGGGCTTCCGAACATGATGGTCCTTCATGGCACTTAAGTTCTGATGCCATGTGACGGTTTCGATGGAGATGACACTCACCTTTCCGGGCTTGGCTATCTTTAGGGCTTATTCAAGTAGAAGACACCAGTAGTAGTGCTGCCATATTCCTTGCCAATTCTAGCTATGAGGGGTGCAGACAAACATTGAGCAGCCCTCACCTATGCAGGAATGAAGACTGGTGAACAAGTCAATCATCAACGTCTGGGGGAGCTGGATTTCCAATATGGTGCGAGGGAGAGTAATCATGGACAACAGGCTATTGCTCGTCTTGTTGTTGGTTCCTCTCATCTCCGCAGTATCTCAGAAGCCCCTGCTCCTAAACCAAAAACCTCAGGCTGTTCCCTCACAAAGAGAACGCGTGGATTTCAGTAGCTGATCGCGCATGATGGAGGGATAATGCGAACAGGCAGTCCTCTAAAGTGATCCAGATGATGACATCGTTTCATGTTGAGGGGTCTCTGTTAAGGATATGTGTTTTTCACTTGGGCTTCTGTTTTTTCCGGGCTGTAAGCAGAGCGAAGTTCCTCATCTCGGTTGATTTGCTGGTTGTAGGGAGGAGAATGGAGGAACGGATCCCTATAGTATAGGGGCTGCTAAGAATTGGGTGTAAGGGTTCCTACAGCAAGAGGCTAGGGTTTAGGGTTTAAGGTTGGATTCGGCCCCTGTTACCATATCCAGGACAAGTAGATGTTATTGCAGGCTTCTTGTTTGAGCATTTCTTTGGTCAGCAATGCTTGATGGACGGACAAAGCCTCACGTGACCTGAAGCAATTAGAGCTAAGTAGCTTTAGTCCCTTGACTCCTTTCATGCAGGGGTCATGCAGGATTTTGTCCACCAACCTGCTTACTGGTGCACTGGTGCTTTCTGGAGTCTGGGGGATTGGATCGTTACCCCTAAAGCCTATACCCTTAAGCCTAAGTCCTGAAACCTTGACGTAAGTGGTACTTTCCCGGGAAACACAATATAGGCCCCAAAATACAATAATCCTATTATGGGAACCTCAGAGCTAATTTTGGGAAACCCCTAAATTGAGGAAGAACCCATCCCCGTCTGAAAGCCCGGTGAGGAAGACAGGCCGCGAAATTCAGCGCATGGCCAGCAAGTCCTACAGTCCAATTTACCAAGGCCTGGTCTCCAGATGTCTCTGGGCAGAGTATTTCCTGTTACTATTTCTAATACAGGATTTGCTATTGTAATTGCTATGATCATGATTTCTTGGATTATTGTTATGACTGTTTCGGTGGTTGCTGGTATTAGTGTGATGATTGCTAGGGTTAAGGGTTAGGGTGTGCTTCTACTTGAGTTGTTGCTGTCAGTATTCGCTGTTTGGGTTAGTCCCCCACCCAGAACTAGTGTCGTAGTAGGAATATCACCATTATCCTTTTCGATCACAATGAGTGTGTGAGGGCCGAACCTAGTTCGTGGTACTACCTAATCTACCGTAAGCCTTAAACCCGAAACATAGTCCTTTATACTGCTTGGCGACCGTGAGTTAGAGTTGGGAGTTTACCTCCAGCTCGCTCAGGCCATGCTTAGAGGGAGATACTGGGCTAACTTCTCTTCAGGGTTTTTCGGGCTACAGGTAGTGTTTAGGATCTACATCCATTATCGAAATAATGCGGAAAGCAGCACCCGCTATCAAATGGCTTCGGGCCAGTATTGGGATTCGATACTCGCCCAAATGCACGCAGGTGTGGATGAAGCCATTGCTGGAGTTGCCACCATCCGAGCATATGAGAAGCAGCAGCACCTTCCGCTTCGTCAGAGTTCCTGACTTTTTGTTGATTGACCTTCGTGAGTGCTGCTGGGAGGTCTGAGCCTGATTCTTTTTTCTGCGTCCTGAAGTAGGTATGGGAGCATCACGGCTAGCGAAGGTGTCCGATCGCTACCAGGGCGGGCTTTCTTGTGTGCATACATATGTATATAAGTATGTGCATGCGTATGCCAGATTGTGCCACCATAGCCCCCCTACACACAACTATGTGCATGCACCTGACGCAATATGCAGATGGAGATGCCCTGGACGTGCTCCGGGTCATGTTCCGCACGTGCTTCTTTCTTGCTTAAACTGCATCTTTGATGTCGAAGTAAGCTCAGGTATTTCAGTGGTCGCAATGCCGCCCGGGTGTCCCGAAGCATCCGTCTGGACTCTTAGCAGCTGATGGATATGAGCTGGGAAGAGGCATTTGGAGATTCACGGGCAGTGCAAAGGAGGAGTCGTCATGTTTTAGACCTGATACTGTTCTGTAGGCATACATAGGGGTTATATGGGGTATGTAGGGGTTATACCGGGAGATGCAACTGTATTTTTGGACAGATACAGCTAGTGCTGCCCTGCTAATTGACCTATCTAGAACTACCCATGAAAGCATGTCCTTTACAGAGCCCCAGGAACAAGTAGCTGTCAGCTTGAGCAGCTCTAGTACTGTTTATAATAATGGAGGACCAATACAATAGCTTTAGCAACATCACTATATAGCAATATAGTTTTGGCCCGGCTAGTCATGAAGACACCATGACTGTTGAGAAAGAACACTTCAACCCAGAGCCGGAAGCCTTGAATCTCGTGGGGTAGTTAGTGCTGGACAACTACTGTGGCACTTGCAGTTATGGGTGTGACTATTTGTGTGTTGTTGTGTCCATTATTCCCTTGAAGCATGGCATCCCGCAAGCGCAGCAAGTGGATCCTTTCAAGCCAGCCAAGTCGCAAGCATTTTCTAGGTTCATGTTCCTTGTGCAGGCCCTCCCAAACAAAATGCTCTCTGGATTTTTAAGCTGGGGTTACAGGTGACAAAGTCGAGATCGTTCACGTCCATGGCGTAGCCTGCCCCCTGCATGCCCATTATATTTTGCAGTAGCAGAAAAGGCCCGTGCAGTCTTTTTTGGCCTTTTCGTGCTTATCATAAGTGATGTTTCGTGATGACCGCTAGTGTGCTTTCAGCGCATTTCGGGCCCAAGCAGCTCCCAAGAACCCAGCGATATGAGCAGCCCGCCTCCAAGAGAAACGAAAGCCCAATTGAGCTGATGATGCTGGCGCGAAAAAAATGCCGTAAACCCTCTGTAGCGTGGGGCCCGATGAATTGCTACTATAGCACTACGACTGAGGATCTGACCCTTCAGGGCTGTCAGCGCTGGCTTGGCTTCAGGTTGCCCCTTGGCATTGCACATGCAGGCCATCTCTGAAAATAAGAGACTTCCCAGGGGCGAAGCAGCCAGCAGCTTTGGGTTACGCTTCTGCGACACTCCATTCTATGATGTTGCAGACAGGCTTTTGTACTTTGATTTTCGGGATTGAGGTGGTTTAGCCCACTTGGTTTTGCTTTGCCATCACCACTTTTTGGGCTGCAGGGCTGAGAGTCTTAGCTCTTAGGGTCTTAGGGTGATGTGTTCAGGGGTTCAAAGTTTCAGGTTCGGCACCATAGAGTTGTTGGTCTTTCAAAGGCTTGTCAGCTTGCCACGGTGACTGCAGCACTCACTCAAGGCCAGATGAACAGGCCAAGGCATGAACCATCCAAAATTGAAGCAACGAATATTTATATTTCAGCCTACAAGCCCTAAACCCTAAACCCTAAACCGAGCATCAGAGAAAGCCAAGGAAGATGCTGGGTGCTTGTATCTCCTCCATGGTGGCCCTCTTGGTGCTTTGACTTCTGGATTAAGTTTTTTACCCTCCGCCTAATATGGTATGATTACATTGTGTAGTTTTGATATTAAGGGTGGGGGGGTGTGGGGGGGAGTTTATTAAGAAAAGGGCTAACCTAGTGATGGTTAGAAGGGCATGAGGGAATATGATGCCTATATAATCCCCATATAATATATTCCCCTGTATTCCTTAGTAACGTCCAGTAAGATGAGGGTCTGATTGGAATTTGGGGCTTTAGATCTAGGGTCAGGTGAGGGGATTCCAAATTTCAGTTTGGTGGTTCTTTCAGGCCTGCATTGAAAAACAGCAGCGCTCAATTGTGGTAGTATCTCTGAGAGGGACCGCCCTCGAAACTGCAGCAAAAGCATGTTGATCAAATCGCCTCAGATATTTGGTAGTTTCCCAAATAGGGGGACTCCAATATGAACCCCCAAATACTATAGTCCTTATTATATGGATCCCCAAAAGGTACCCCTAATTGTGGGAAACCCTTACTTGCCATAAACCCAAAATCTGGTTAAGCACGCAGCGCTGCGCAGGTCGTGCTCCACAGCTACTGGGTCTCATCAGCATCTTTTGGATAGGTTGTCCATTCTAAGTCCAGTTACGGGTTTAGGGTTAGGGTTAACTTTTTGTGGACATGTTGTCTATGTCAAGTCTATGTTGGGTTAAGGGGTTAGGGTTTAGGGGGCTAGGGTCAGCACTGTTTTTGGCAGTTATGTTCATGCTAAGTCTATATAAGAAAATGGCACCAGGTTTTAGAAATCTGTCAGGCCAGTTTCCCCTGAACTAAGAGAACATTGGACCAAATGTAGGCCCTTTCGCAGGGAAAATAACAATTTTGGCCGGGCACCCTAAACAGTAAACCCTTTACCGTACCCCCTCCAACCATGACCCGGGCTACCCGGAACCCAAAACTTGCTAGGCGTTAGTAGGGAATGAGGCATGGATCCCTGCAGTAGTTCCTATATAATCCCCAAATTCGATGATAATCGTAAGTCAGTAGTTTCCATTTCCTTTTCCATTCAGTCCTCCATAGGAACCACCAGCAGGAAGCCCCAAACATGATCAAGTCCAGGCTACCTGGGTCCCCTGGGGCGGACCATCTCTGGCCCTGCGGCCGGAGTAGCTCTGCGCTATGCCCAGCAGCTGAGCAACGCCCTGGAAAGCGCCTTGGGAAGCTCTGAGAGGGAGCACGCTCGGGATTCAGTGACATACTTTACACAGATACCTAAATAGACACATGCATGCATGCACATACGCACGCACTCACGTGCGCACATATGTTATGATTACGTTTGCAGGTACGTATGTCGGTCTGTATGCGTGTACGCATATATGCCGTGAAGGTGTTTGTTGGGTTATGTAGGTGTGCAGATGTGTGTATATGTAGGGGTATGCAGGCAAGTGCGTATGTATGCATGAGCATGACCGCGTACATGCACAGGAGGACATGTACATGCATGCATATATGGGGGGTATGAAAGCGCATACTAGGAGTTTAGAGTATGGTCCATACGTCCAAGTTTTTTGTAATAAGTGTTGCCTTCAGGACGCTTCAGCAGGCCGGGGATGCTCCAGGCTTTACTGGCCTTTGGTTTGCAGGGAATGAAGGAATGGAAAAGAAAATGGAAGCTACAATAATAGGCTATGTAGGGACTACTATAAGGATCCATTTCTTCATTCAGAGCTAACCCACGGTAAGTTTAATGGCCTGTGGATTTGACATGCCGCAAGTAGCGTTCTTGACGGACGGAGTTTCTGGACTTCTAGATGTTTGGGTTGGTGAACCAGCCAAGGGATCCACGTTCAACACGGAAGCTGCCTGGGGTAGTTGCGTATGGAAGGTAAGGGCTTAGGTTTCAAGAAAATACCGGGGCCCTGTTTTTGACTTGCAATTGCGTATGATCCTCAAAGTGCTGCAGCTGACATACCGCGCTTCAGCTCAGGCATCCTCAACAACCTCACCAGCACAGAGCTGCAAAGCTGCGATATATCTTAGCAAGGGGTTCCCATAGGAGGAGTAAAGCTTTTCATGTGACATCATTGTGTTGTCTTATCCACGCAAGAACCTTATTCCAATCATACAATGTCGGCAGTTTGGTAGAAGCCCAAAATTAAAGGGGCCACCGCAAAAAGCTCAGCGCCAGTGTGCATAGGGATGGGATATCTTTCGCTGTTCGCCGCTCTGATTTGTCGTGAAGCACGGCTGTGGCATGGCGGGTGGGGATGACAATTGTTCTCTTGGTCTGCCTTTGAGATTTCGCCTTTAGCTACCACATGCAAGTCCTACAGAGCTCAAGTTACGTTTAGTTCGCTCAGCGATGAACTATCTCACCTTCGGATCTGGAAGCATGCCAAACCACAGATGCTCGAGGCAATGTTTGGTGGCCGTCGAGCGGTTGACAACCTACTCGGAGCTGCAGGTGTGTTGTTTTTCTCGGAGGAGGTTTATTTGAGGGTTGGGCTTTTGGAGCTTGGGGTTGAAAGGCTTCATCGTTGAGAGGTTTGCGCCACTGCAGTGCTGGCTTTGATGTGTTGGTTGTTATTTGGGTCCATGAATGAAGCGTGTCTCTTTGGGAGGCACTGTATAGTTGGGATTCAAGTCTATAGGGCTGTATATCGGGGCCCGCCTGCGTATGGAAACGTTGTACCTGTCCGACTTTGGTGGTTGGCCTCATATTTGAGAAGTTAGTTAGCAAAGTACTGTATCGGATGTTCGGGCTCCTTCCAGGCTGCGATTGCGGAACCGCACCTCTGGAAATGTCACATGTTTGTTTCGACAGCCCTTCCAACGATGTTTGGATCTGACATTTGATTTCTGGGTATTATCTTGCGGCCTGGGTTGCGTGGAAACAAGAAACATCTCACCCAGAAGAAGGATGATGATAAGTAAAAGCCGTGAGAGTGGCGTGCAGAGAGAGATTTGCCCAAGATCCACGCACTCGTTGATGTCGGTATTCAGGGCTCAGGGTTGACGACAGAGTATGGGTGAAGTGAGAGTTTACCTAAGGATCAGGTATGTCTCCGTTTGGGTTCAGCCAGGCCTCCTTGCATGCACGGTTCCGTACAGCATCACGAACTCACTACCCAGATTGAGAGCTAAGTTTTGGATAAGGCCAC